CGTGCTCCAGAGGTTTTGTCCATCCTGTGATGGACAAGGATTGCTTCAAGGAATGTGTCAGCCACAAGATCTAGGAATGGTTTGGGTTGGGAGAGGCCTTAAATCCCATCCAGTGCCGCCCTCAGGGACACTTTCCACTGTCCCAGGTTGCTCCAAGCCCTGTCCAGCCTGGCCTTGGGCACTGCCAGGGATCCAGGGGCAGCCACAGCTGCTCTGGGAATTCCAGCCCAGCCCCTCTCCACCCTCCCAGGGAGGAATTCCTCCCAAATATCCCACCCAAATCTCCTCTTTTCCAGTTTGGAGTCATTCCCCGTGTCCTGTCACTCCATCCCTTGTAAGTGGTCCCTCTCCATCATCCTTGCTGTGCCCCTCAGGTCCTGGAAGGCCACAATTAGGTCCCCCCAGAGCTTTTCCTCTCCAGGTTGGACAATCCCAGTTCTCCATGGCCATCAGCTCCCTGTGTCTGCTCCACTTCAGCAGGAGGGAGAATCTGGACTGAGAGTTAGAGAAGAGTGGGATAGCAGCCCCTGGCAGGGAACACAACAATTCCTGAGTGGAAAAAGCCATTCCAGCACTTTCCTGACCTGGGCTGGGCATCACCACGGAGCAAACACTGCAGTGCTGCCCCTCCAAACCCCCCAGATTCCTCTGGGACTTGCAGAGGGATTGAAGAGTTTTGTGTTCCACCTGCCTGTAATGGTCACCTGCTCCAAATCCCAATTCTTGGGCTTCCTTCCTCCAAACATCCATTTAAATTCCAGTTTGCTCCTGCCATGTTCAATAATTTAATGTGTTATCAATTTACTCCTCATAGCTGCAGGGAATGACTGATGCTCTGTGCACACACTATGGGCACATCTATGGTTCATAAACAGCCAAAGTTAGGAAATTCTAAATTGTAAATGTATCTAATTATCTCTAATCATAGGCTCACTGTAATTAGTGGGATGCTGGTTCCCCTCTATTTTTAAAGAACAGAGATATTCTCTGTAATAAAAACCTCAACAGATTTGTGCCATGGGTATGAAAATAGAACATTGTTAGGCTATTTTTGAGTACAGAAACAACTTTCTGCCCCATTTTCTCCAAGGGATTCCTGTCTGGTGGTTTCACAGGCTGCATCTTTCCCCTTCTGTTCCTCCATAGCTTCATCTGGAAAATTCTCTATTTCCTCATCTGTGAAGTTCTTTTCTGGAAGGTAAAATATGATTTAACACTTCCACGTCCTAGGCAGGACAGGCCAGGTTTGCAGGATGTTTTGTTGGGATGTTTAGAACTGGCCACGTGTTAATTCTTGCTGATTGTGAGCTGGATTTGTCAATTTTACTTTTTCTATTTTGGGAGCACACAGTAAATATTATCCAATTAATGTGAAGAGCATCCTTCCCTCTTTCCCCATTATTTGTCCTGTGAAACATGATTTGGCATAATTTTTTCTGTGCTAAATTCAGCTTTTCTTTGTGAAGATCAGCTGTTTACAGTAGCTTCCTTATAACACTTTAATTTTCCATTTTGCTCCTTTGAATGCCGCTTTCGCTTCTTCCTGTAAATATTTTGATGTGTCTGTGGTTGTTTTCCTTTAAATGTTGTGGGGAATCGAATGCAGCAGCTGCTTAGGGTGCTTCAGAATTTGAAGTAGTCGGGTTTCATGGGACACACTTTTCCCAAAGAAAATTGGTTGTGGTGGGAAAAAGTGGGAATTGTTTGCTTCGATAGGAGGAGGATGTGCCCTGTGCCTCAGGCTTTGTTTCAACAGGTGACTCCTTGGGAAAGTGTAGGATCTGGGTGGGAAAGGATCTTAAATCAGCTCATCTCATCCCACCCTTCCCTGTCCTAGGGTCGCCTTTTTATCCCAGGGACACCTTTCCCTATCCCAGGGACACCTTTTCTTGTCCCAGGGACACCTTTCCCTATCCCAGGGTCACCTTTTTATGCCAGGGACACCTTTTTATCCCAGGGACACCTTTCCCTGTCCCAGGGACACCTTTCTCTGTCCTAGGGACACCTTTCCCTGTCCCAGGATCACCTTTTTATCCCAGGGACACCTTTCCCTGTCCCAGGGACACTTTTCCCTATCCCAGGGACACCTTTTTATCCCAGGACACCTTTCCCTGTCCCAGGGATACCTTTCCCTATCCCAGGGGTACCTTTCCCTATCCCAGGGACACTTCTCCTTATCCCAGGACACCTTTCCCTATCCCAGGACACCTTTTTTTCCCAGGGACACCTTTCCCTATCCCAGGACACCTTTCCCTATCCCAGGGACACTTCTCCTTATCCCAGGGACACCTTTCCCTATCCCAGGACACCTTTCCCTATTCCAGGACACCTTTCTCTATCCCAGGGACGCCTTTCCCTATCCCAGGACACCTTTCCCTGTCCCAGCTTGCTCAAAGCCCTGTCCAGCCTGGCTTTGGACACTTCCAGGGATGGGACAACCACACCTTCCCAGTGCCAGACCCTCCTCACCCTCGCAGGGAAGGATTTTCTCCCCACACCCACGGCACAAAGCTGTGCAGCACCTTGGGGACCGCCCGGCATTCCTTGGGAGGAATCAGAGCAGAGTTTTGGCGAGGGGGACATGAAAAAGTGGGATGATATCAGCGGGAATGTGTCCCTGCAGCCCGGCTCGGCTGCGGGTGGCAGTGCAGAGCAGCGTTTGTGCCCCTCGCAGGAATTGTGTGTGTAGGGAGAGGTGATCTGGCAAGGTGAGACTCGGGGTGAGAGACGGGCTGGGAACCCCAGCATCCCTCCCTCGGGGATGAGGAGTTGGGGATGCCAGGCATGGTTTGTGCCGTGCTCATGGCAATTGTCCTTTCCGTGGATAAGCGCAGTATTTTTTCTTAATTATTATTTTCTTAATTATTTTGGAGACAGCTCAACCCTAAACCTCCGGGTTTTTTGGCGGTGCAAACCTACGCGGGAGGAACCCCTGGATTTGTAATAGCTGCAGTAAAGTGGGATTGCTGGGAATAAAGTGGGAATAAAGGCTCCTCAATGCCTTTTTTTATGCCTGTGGATCATTCCTGGTGCATGCAGGGCTCTTGGCTCAGCCCCTGCCCTGCAGCATCCCCAGCACAGGATGCGATTTTGGGCTGGGGGACATCTCTGGGTGGCGAGGGGACAGCGACTCGTGGAGCTGTGGCCCCCTGTCCCCGGAGCTTTCCCCGGGGGAGCTGTGCCTGTGCACAATCGGGGCTGTTTGAATTGATGCTGCAGCTTAAACAGACATAAAGCAACTCTTTCATGTGCCAGCCGCGGTTGCCTTGGCTCTTGGCAGCGGCTCCCGGTGTGGGCAGTGCGAGGATTGAAATGCAGAGGGGACGGAGGGAGAGACAAGGAGGATTGAGCCCAGATCTGCGAGCCCTCGATATATAATTTGGTTTTTTTAGCTGTCAAATAAGCTCATTGAAAGGCAACCGGAACACGGCCGAAGAAGGGGGTTTTGCAGCAAGAAACTGCAGCAAATGCAAAGCCGGGGGAGCAGGGGGGTGCTGGCCACGGGAGCCCCCGAGGTGGCCCCGGCCAGGCCGGGGGGAGCGGCCCGGGCCCGCTCTGGGAACCGGGGGCACCGGCCCGGCCTCGCATCCCGGGGGGAGCGGGGGAAATTGGGATGGACGCGGGGAAAAAAGGGGATAACAGGGCTGGAGAGGGGATGTGGGGCTGGCAGACATCCCCTGTTCCCCAGAGGTTTGGGGGAGAGCGGCGGCTCCGAGCCCGTCACGAACGTAAAGTCGGTGCTTGGCGAGGAGGGAGGAGGGGGAGGATGCTCGAGCGTTCCAGAGTGCCTTTTTCTTCGTTATTTATTTATTTCCTTAAGCTCTGGTGTCATGTTCGAGTTGTTTTCCTTGTCCCTGGATCTGAGCATCATTAGCAAGATAATGAAGTTCCCGAATGTGGCGTTAAGTGGCTGCATTCCCATTCCTCCCTCCCTTTTCCCCATCTTGCCTGCAGCTCCAGGGACCGGCGTACCGGGAGATGTTAAAACAAAAACAAGGGGAGGTGCTGCTGGTGCTGCTGGTGATGGGGGAGAAACGGGGCTCTGCCAGCCCTGCCAAGCCCCCCTGTTGGCTCGGGGGAGGGGGCACAGCCTTTCCCACCTCCAGGATGCCCCTGGACCAGTCCCACCAGTGTCAGGGAGCCGTGCTGCGAGGACAAGCCACAGACAGGGAGAAGGGAGGGGAGGGGGGTGTCTGCCGTGATCTGTGTTTGCCACAAAATTTGCCTCATCACAAAAATTGTGTCAATAGCATCAGGTTGTTTATGGGGGAAAGAGGGGGGGGTGAATAACAGGGATGTGTGTGTGAGAGAAACGGGGGTGGGGGGCTCGTTCCTTATCAAGAAACCTGGAGTATCAAAAATAAACACGCTGCTGGAGCCCAGGCTGTGGGGCTGGGTGCTGGGTTTGGGGTGGGTAACACAGCATCCCCCCCCTCCACAACACCCCCCTGGCCCGCCATCCAGAGAGGGAACAAAGCTCCGGGAACGATTAATCAAGTGGCTTAATAAAAAAAAATAAAAAAAAAAAAAAAAAAAAAGGAAGAAGTATAAATCCCTGAGGGCTGCGTGGTGCTGGTGGTGGTGCTGCTGCCGAGGAGCTGGCTCTGAGACAGCCACCGGGAGGGACGCGCCAGCCCTCCCCTGCTCTCCTCTCCTCTCTTCTCCTCTCCTCGCCTTCCCTCTCCTCTCCTCTCCCCGAGCTGCTGCCACACTTGGTTCATTCCAGCTGCAGAAGCTCAGAGCCTTCCATGCGGTGGGATTTTTTTTTTTCTTTCCTCCTCCCGGGCTGAAAAAAATTAAGGGGGAAAAAAAAAATAAATAAAAATCACAAGCCTGACCCGCTCCCCCCTCACCTCCCCCCTCCTCCTTCCTTTCTCCTCTTCATCCAGCCGAGCCGAGGACTATCCCAATCGCCGAGGGGAAGGAAAAAAGGGGGAAAAACCCAACAGCGGCAACCAGCAGACCCCCAGCACGCCCCATTCCTGCCGCTGCCCTTTGACATGCAACCTTCCTTGGGATGGGACCAGCCGGGATGCAGCTGCAGCTTCGGGAGGCACTGGTGGAAACTGGGCATGGTGGCTCTGCTGACGGCGGAGGGCAGCGCCTGGAGCCGGGCACTGCTGCTCTCGCTGGGGCTGCTGGCAGGATCGGCCATGGGTGAGTGCCGCGGGCAACTTCTGCGGGAGAGGCTCCGATCCAGCCCCGGCTGCGGGGACAGGGAGCGCCGCTGGACCCCGTGCGGGAGCGGGGTGCGGGTGGGTGGCACTGGGGTGATGGCAGTAGGCTGTGTGGCACTGGGGTGGTGGCAAGAGGCTGTGTGACACTGTAGTGGTGGCACTGGGGTGCTAGCACTGGGATGATGGCAATAGGCTGTGTGGCACTGGGGTGGTGGCACTGGGGTGATGGCAATAGGCTGTGTGGCACTGGGGTGGTGGCACTGGGGTGATGGCAATAGGCTGTGTGGCACTGGGGTGGTGGCACTGGGGTGATGGCAATAGGCTGTGTGGCACTGGGGTGGTGGCACTGGGCTGATGGCAATAGGCTTTGTGGCACTGGGGTGCTGGCACTGGGGTGATGGCAATAGGCTAGGTGGCACTGGGGTGATGGCACTGGGGGGGTGGCACTGGGGTGCTGGCACTGAGCTGTGTGGCACTGGGATGGTGGCAGTAGGCTTTGTGGTACTGGGGTGGTGGCACTGGGGTGGTGACACTGTGGTGGTGGCGCTGGGATGGTGGCAATAGGCTGTGTGCCACTGGGGTGATGGCACTGTGCTGTGTGGCACTGGGATGGTGGCACTGTGCTGTGTGGCACTGGGATGATGGTAATAGGCTGTGTGGCACTGTGGTGGTGGTACTGGGGTGATGGCACTGGGGTGGTAGCAATAGGCTGTGTGGCACTGGGATGGTGGCACTGGGCTGTATGCCACTGGGGTGTGTGCCACTGGAGTGATGGCACTGGGGTGGTGGCATTGGGATGGTGGCAATAGGCTGTGTGCCTCTGGGGTGGTGGCACTGGGCTGTGTGCCACTGGGGTGATGGTAATGGGCTGTGTGGCACTGGGGTGTTGGCACACTGTGCCCTGGCACCTTGGGCACGGCACCGAGGGTGTTTGATTCATCCTCCGGGAGCAGCAGTTTTCCAGCGCTGCCGTGTGATAGAGGGTGGCTCTCCATGATCTCATTCCCCTGCTCCGCTGGGTCAGGTTTGGGCTGAGCTGCTTCAGGAGCTGCTGATGTGCAGGATGACTGTGAAAAATGCCAGCACTGCTTTCCCCTCTGTCTTTCCCTGGCATCTTAATTCAGGATTGCACTACCCTGCTGCTTGCCCACAGCTGATAGAACAGATTTCTGGATGCCTTGCATGAACATGGAAGCACTTTCCTCCTTTTCCTCCTGCCTTCCTAGTTTTATATCTCTTATATATGAGCTCGCTGGCCTCAGCATCCTGATTTTTATGAAATATGCATTTTTTGGGCTTGAAAGCAGAAGAAGACTTGAATTTGGGGGCAGTTTGCTTGTGTCTCCTACCTCATTTCCGCAGCTGCCCTTGCAGCCAAAGCAGATCCAGGGAGTGAAGTTTATTTCTGGTGTAAACAGCAAATATTTAGGGACTGTCCTTCTGTGTGTGTAGGAGGGGGAAGAGTGGGAGAGCCGAGTGCCTGGCAGTGGCTGCTCTCCACACTGTGCAGTGCCCCGATTTCCAAGTTTCCAAGTCCTGTTGTCTTGTCTTCTGTATCCTAGGCTGGAGGAATGTGTGTTTGGGTGTTGATGTGTATGAAAGCTCCTTGGCTTTGGGATTTTTGTTCTTTTGGGGTTGGTTTTTTTTTTTTTTCTTTTTTTAAGAAAAACTTTATCTGGAATGCAAGATTGATTTTATTATGTAAGGCAGGTTTCCTTTCAGGGGCTGGGGGATGAGGATTAACTGCTGCTCTTGAGCACTCTTGCAGTGGAGCTGAACAGTTCTGCTGACTGGGAGCATCTGTTAGGAAAGGCTGTAAACCCACCCAAACAACCTACAGGTCCTTAATAAAGGCTGAATGTTTATTTTGGTGGCTATTTTTCATCTCTTCAGCATGAACATTCAGCCTGTGCACAGAGGAAAACCATTCCAGCAGCTTCTGTTGAGCTTTCCTCATGTGAGCAGACTGATGGAGAGATACCTAAATCTCAGCTTTACTCTACCAGGGGCTTACAGCTTTTTCTCTTCTTCTGAGCTGTCTGTGCCTTATTCATACTGGATCTTCCAGGCTTCACTCTGTACCTCGCTGAGCATTTAATCCTTTCTTCTCAGGCCCCTGGTCCCTCCTGTCTGCATTTTGAGCTCTCTGTTCTGGATCCTTCAGCCAGAGGTTGATGCTCTGGGCTGTTTTGCTTTGTGAGCAGAAGACTTGCGAAAGCTTTTTAGACCTCAGATGGTTTTTTATCTGCATCAGAGCCGGAGGCATTGATCAATAAGTCCTCTCTTTAGATTCTGAAACCCCAGCAAGGATGTTTTTGTGAGAGCAGGATGCCAACTTGGGCGTCAGTGCCTGCTGCTGGGTACACAGGGAGGGAGGGGAGGCACCCACCCTTTGCAGGGTCACGGTGGGTTCAGGGTGCAAGCCCAGGAAATCATTTCAGCCTGTGCTGAGTGCTGAACCCTGTGGAACAAAGTTCCAAGAGCTCCGAGCTCTCCCGTTCCGGGGCTGTGCAGGGAGCAGTAGCCAGCAGTTCCCATAGTGTGGCAGCAGAGCCGTGTGTGTGGAGCCATCAGCCAGGAGTGGGACAGAAAAAGGGGGAGAAACACTGCTCCCATCACATCAGCTGGGCTGTGCCTGCCCAGAAATGGCTTCTGAAACCCAGCACAGGGCGTGGGGTGCCCTCAGGTGCTGCCATGTCCCTGGGCAGGATGATGGAGCTTCCCTTGGGGGAAGGATGGAGCTGGAGAGGAGGGAAGGTGGTGCCTGGTGATGGGAACTTTATTGTGGCTGTGGAGGTGCTTTGTGAGGTTCTCCCTTCCAGTTTGAAATTTATTGTGGCTGTGGAGGTGCTTTGTGAGGTTGTCCCTTCCAGTTTGAAATTTATTGTGGCTGTGGAGGTGCTTTGTGAGGTTCTCCCTTCCAGTCTGGAGGCTGCAGTGATGGTTTCACAGGGATAAGATGGACACAGGGCACTGGATTTGCCTTTGGCTGTGGGTTGTGGTGAGCCCAGCCTGGCCTCTGGAGTGTGATGATTCTGGAATTCTGACTGTTGGTTGGCAGTCAGGTGGGCACAGTGGTGCTGCTCACCCCTTTCTGCTTCTTCCTCTGCTCCAGCACTGCAGGGTGCATTAGGGGCATGTGTAGGCCCCGTGGGTGTGGATAAACACAGATAAAATACATTTTAATGGCCTGTTGAAAAGGGTCTTGACATCATTATTTACACACTGTGCTTTATTCGTCAGCACCTTGCTTGGTACTGGGTTAAGGGAGGATGAACCAGCTTGAAACACCAGCTCATCAGTTTTAAACCCCTGTAATTATTATTTTTTCTCGATGGAAAACTGGTTTTTTCCAGGCTTCTCTTCTGAAAAGTGGATGAGCAGGAAGCTGCTTATGAATTTAAGATGTGGGCAGGAACAGAGGGCAGAGGAGGTTTCATTGCAGCCATCTCAGCCTGCACTGATAATTCCACTGCCCTGAGGGACCACAAGGGGTTAAAGACCATTCCCACTTGTTTTTTATTAGGTGTGGACCAGTGCTGGAGATGTGAGGAGAGGGTTCATAGGAGATGCAGTCAGTAAATCTGGGGGTTCTGGATCGAACTTGAATTAAATATGCCCATCCCTCAGGTGCCTCCCAGGGAAATTCTGGGTCCTGCTGAGCTGTGCCCATCTCTAAAATTCCTATCAAGGAAATTCTGGGTCCTGCTGAGCTGTGCCCATCCCTCAGGTGCCTCCCAGGGAAATTCTGGGTCCTGCTGAGCTGTGCCCATCCCTGGGATTCCTCCTTGGGAAATTCTGGGTCCTGCTGAGCTGTGCCCATCCCTGGGATTCCTCCCAGGGAAATCCTGGCTCCTGCTGCTCCCAGGAGCAGAGCTGGGTGTTTGCTCCTCTGCTGCTGCCTCCCCATGCCAGGGGCTCCTGGCAGACACCAGGATGGCTCTGGGGGGTTTGATCCATGGATCCCATGGATGGGTTTTTGTGTCCCAGGTGTGGCTGAGCTGTTGACCAGGGGTTGTCAGTGCTGTGGGGGATGTGTCCCTGTGCAGAGCTGAGCATTCCTCACCCAGGGAATGGTTCCTGCTCTCAGCCACTTCCAGCAGCATTCCAGGGATTTCCAGCCATGGAATTATTGCTGCCCTTCTCTGCTTGCTGAGAGCCCAGCTGGGTGGGAAATGCCAAATTTCACAGCTGTGCTTCTGTTCCTGCTGCTGCCCTCCCAACCCCTGCCAGAATTTGGCCTGGATCTTGACCAGAGGAAATTGTTATGATAATGTTGGGGGTTAGTTGGGGGCAAGGTCAGGCAGCCTTAACTGGTTTTGAGCCCATAGCATTGCAAGAAGAGTCTTTTTAACTCCATTTTTATCAGGAGTATCCTGAGACACAGGGCTGGAGTAATTTTTCACAGGCTTTAGTGAAATTATAACAAAGCTCTGTTTAGCTGAGTGGATTTTAAATAATACTTCTTTACTCTCCTCCATGTTTCCAGGCATTGGGAGGTTCAGAAACGCCATGAATAGGCCTAAATTTAAATTAGGCTTTTTTTTTTTCCCGACAGAAAATAGAGCAAATTCAAATGGAAGGGGAGAGATAAGACTTTAAGGGCTACAAAAAAAAAGGGAAATGATTAAGTAGTAAAGATTCTCTACTGCTGGAATTGTTGAGTGCAGCATTGAGCTGTCTCTTTGACATCCACAGCAGCCAGAAATGGCAGAGGTGCTGGAATCCCATTGATTGGCTCCAATATCCAGTGAGGAATGATGGGAAGGGAAAAGGGAATCAGGCTTTAAGGGGAGTTTAAACCAGGTGAGGCTTTTTGCTCCACCTGGGGAGAGGTGGGAGCCATCCATCCTGCTTGGTAACTGAGGATTTATGGTCCAGCTCAGAGTTTTAATTTGAGATGTTTCCCTGAAGTCAGTTTAGTGAGAGCTCCAGTTCATCCTTGTCCTGCAGATATTGCAGGGCAGGAGCCCAGCAGGG